TCATTACTCAGTGCTGGGTCATGCACTCTAGAGATTATTCTGAGGGGACTGCAGTGTGGTGCCCATTTAGAATCATGATATTCCTATTTTCTTTACTCTAAGTTGCAAACATTGAAAACCACTGTAGCCTCATACGTTTAGACAATGTAAAGTAGGTGGTTCCTTTAACAAGTGGCTTGATTTTGGTGAGGGAATATAACTTATCAAAGTGTATTAATGGGTAGTTCTAGAAAAACAAACGTTGGCTTTTGTCCCTTGAAACTATCCTTCTGCTGAATGTTTAGAGCTGAGCAATGGTGTCAGTTACCTTGGTAGTCTGAGAGGATGATGTGAGTGAACTCACCTGTATTCTATCCTGTGTGGGTCATTTTTATAGAGGACATCGCCTACAGCCATACCCAGTAAAATAGAAATTGATAAGGCATGTTTCTTTCTGCACTTCTTTTATATACAAAGAAATTAACAATCTAGTATTGCTATTGTTTTGAAGTACTTGAGAAAGATGTCTTGTATTTACTATTCCTTTAATAAACTATTTTATTCTTATGCCTTTAAAAAAAACCTCCTTTATTATAAATTGTAGGTTACTAAATTTGCCCAAACTGTTACTATATAATTTGGATTTAATCATGCCAACTGTTTTCACAAAGAGGGAAACTGAGGGATGTAGAAAAGGAAGTCACTCCAAGCCACATGAAGGGCTGGAGATCAAGCTCTACCTAGTAGTCACCATCTGCAGCCTGGGAGACCTTTCAGCGCCATCTTATCAGTGACTATCTGACTCAAGTTCTTCCTCTGCCACTCCAACTATTTAAAGGGACACAGTGGTCATAGCTTATTTTCTTAGCAGGTGGGGGGGGGAGCTCGAAACAGGGTTTTTCTGTGTAGCTATGGAGCCTCCTAGAACTTGCTCCATTGACCAGGCTGGCCTTGAACTCTTTGAGATCCACCTGTCTCTGCCTCCCAAGGGCTGGGACTAAAGTCATGCACCACCACTGCAGGGCCTTGGTTTAGCTCTTAAGCAAACTGTTTCACAGCTTGTCCTTAGGACTGCCCAGCTTCCATTTGGTTGTCAGGACAAGGTGACAGCAGGTACTCTCCACCTTCCACAGCAAATTTGATATTTGATGCCATTCATATCTCAGTTATGGTCTCCTCAGTAGGAACCTTTCCCATCTCTTCCTTGTAATGACTGAGACCTTGCTTGGCCCCATTACTGGCACACTGACACCATCACTTGGCTGATTTTGCTCTTTACTGTATCTTCCCTCAATCCAAAGGTCCATAATTCTATTTGCCCCTCATGTTGGCTGTCAAAGGCAGAACCTGTTGGTGGCTTTGACTGGACTTCTATGAGCACCACACAGACTGAGTCATGTCCTCCTTCAGAATCATCCCAGGGATGCTTTTTTTTTATTAACTTTTTTTTTGTTTTTATTGAGCTATATATTTTTTTTTCCATTCCTCTCCCCCCCCCATTCTTTGGAACTGTGGATTGTAGTCTGGCTATCCTTTGCTTTCCTTTATATCTTCTAACCACTTTGAGTGAGTACATATTGTGTTTGCTTTCTGAGTCTGGGTTACCTCACTTGGGATGACTTTTTTCTAGTTCCATCCATTTGCCTGCAAATTTCATGATATCATTGTGTTTTTACCGTTGAGTAATACATCATTATGTAAATGTACCACATTTTCTTTATCCATTCTTCAGTTGAGTTGTTTCCAAGTTATTACAAATAATGCTGCTATGAATATTGTTGAGCAAGTGTCCTTGTGGCATGATTGAGTATCCTCTGGGTATATGCCCAAGAGTGATATCGCTGGGTCTTGAGGTAGATTGATTCCCCATTTTCTGAGAAACCGCCATACTGATTTCCAGAATGTCATGTACAAGATTGCACTCCCACCAGCAGTAGAGGAGTGTTCCCAACTCCACATCCTCTCCAGGGATGTTCTTAATGTAAGCACTGCCCTGAGCTGCTGTGACCTAGGTGGCTGTAATTGATCTTGCTGAACACTTAATGTCAAGGTTTCATTTCCATTTAGGTTACACCACTTGCTAGCACAACTTAATCATGCTTTTGGACCCCAAGTTTTGTAGTTTTCAAACAGAATTTCTAATAAGGAACTGCTCTAGCTATACACCAAGTGGGAAAGCTCAGGGCTTTGCTCCCAAATGACCTCAAGAAGCTGGCTTTTTAAGCATCAATGCTTCAAACTTCTTGCCTCGTGGCTTTATTTTCCTAGTTCTGACCTATGTGAGTGTAGTACTGTCCAGCTAAAGGGGACAATTACAGTGGCTTCAATGGCTAAATGTTGTTAGAGTCCTTGACTAAGTAGGAAACCACTGATGACAGAAAAAAAATTAGACCCAAAGCTAGTGTCTCAGAAATGGACTGAAGTAAGAATGGCCTCCTGTGACATTAGAACATCTAGGTCCATGCATGGTTACAGCTTTTTGGAAGCTTGTTTTGGAAGATGTATAGGATGTCTCAATTAAAATGTCCCTCATGCTACCATCACAGGGCCTTCTGGCAATGTTCGGGTGTGCCATGCTCACCCTGTTGGTACTGTTTGAATGAGTTCTTCAGCTTCAGTAGCGTCAATCACTGCTTTTTTTCTCCCCAGGAAGGGAATTTCACAGAATATTGATACAAACACAAAAACCACTTAAAAAGATAAAGCCGTAGGGTTGGTGGGGGAAAGCCACCAGTCCCTGTAACGAGAAGATTAAAAGAATTCAAGATGAACAAATTATTATGCTTCATTTCCATTTTTATTATATTACAATGCACAGTCGCAAGCTTCCTTGGGCTAGTCCCTTTTCAAATGGATCCTTTTATGGACAGCCTTTATGTATGCTAAGAACAAAATACTGCCATCCTTCTGAAAAACAGTAGGAGAAATCCAGAGATGTAACCAAACCCCAGTCAGAGCCTTTTTACTGCAGAACACACTAAGTTATTAAGTCATTAGGAACACAGGAAGCTGTAAGAAATGACATATATGCTGCAAGAATTTATACATATAATTATGTATACTAAATAAGTTATCAGCCTGTTGAGTTCTAGAACAATTTATAAAATGACCCATGCTTGCTATTTTTTTTTTAATCAGCGTTAGGTTACCACACAGGCATGAGTCCCTTTAGCGGCACACTAAACTACTAGAAACTAGAAAAATCTACCTCTTCTAGAGCAAAAAATTACTTACAAACTCAGAGGAATTACCTCCTGGTGGTAATCACACACTAAGAATCCCTTGAAGAGTTTACGGAGTTATTAATAAAAAATTCCACTATTTTAGAATCCACTGACATTTTAAGATGTTTTAGTAAAGTGATGCACTTTCTTTTCTCTTTTAAAGGCAGGGTCTCATGGATTCCAGGTTGGCTTCAAACTTGCTATGTAGCGGAGGATGACCTGTAATCATCCTACCTCCGCCTCCCAAGTGCTGGGATTTCAGGCATATGCCACCATACCACAGTGTGTGTGAAGGTCAGAGGCCTTCTACCATGTAGGTCTTGGGATTGAAACTCAGGTTCCCAGGCTTGGCAGCAAGCCCCTCCCATTCCCCTGACAGAACAGGGAATGAACTTTCAAATGCTCCTTGGACAGTGGTTATGAATTACTTTCCCACCATGTGTTCTGTACTGTTCCTGTCTGAGAAAGAGCAGTAGCTCCTAACAGAAACTGAACCCTGATGTAAGTTTATTGCCACCAACATCTGATAGCTAAGTTTGGCTTTCAGTAAGATCAAATCTATAGGGAAAAATTTATTTCACAAGATCAGACTAGCCTAGAACTTCCTGAAGTATCTTCATTGCCCTTTATGTTATATACAGGCACAATATCTATTAAGGAAAATAAAATGCTTTGGAAATTATCAAACATTTCTTGTTTCTCCTATACACATACATAAATTCAACTCTTTTTAAAGGCTCAGATTAAAATGATTATTTCTATCTCTACCCACTTAGTGATGTTTTATTAAAACTGTTTATCTGACATCCTAAAATTTCACCTCCTAAAAGGGTAAAATCCAAAAACTGGATGGCAGTACAAATTGGGGGGCAGTTTATAATGCTTATTTACAAACTCTCTCCTCAACTAGACTGAAAACTACTGGTATGGAATGCCTTTTTCTATTCCAAAACCTAATAGAGATCTGCATGTAACATGGTGTAATGACTACCAAGGATCTAGGCTAGTGGTACAGTTAAGAATTTATTTGCTTTAAAGCCTGAAAGAACATTTAACCTTTACACATACTTCAAGTAACCACGCATCCTAGACACCAGAGTTCACTGCCAGGATTCCAAAGCAACAACCAGCAGCAAACCAAAGCTGGGTAAGATTTTCAAGTCTGTGGGACCACAGAATGCTAGTTTCTTGTGACTGAGACCTCAGCCAAGAAGACACTTGTGAGATGATGTCTGCATGACTTCTAACTTAGTGATATAAGACTTGGAGAGTGGGGAAGGGTTTCTCACACACTAAGAATCATGTTGTCAGAACCATGTGCCCTTCACATGAAAGGCTCTGTTGGGGAAGCTAGCCCCACTTATTGGGAGCTGATAATCTTCTCTTCAGTTCTAGGAACTTCACAAAAACTAAAGTCTTAGAAAACATAAATAAGATCCTCAAAGTACTAGTATCTTCACACACTTTACAGTAATTAAAAGAATGAGTCTACTTATAGATTTTGGTATGTTTATTCTCAACCACATTCTTCCCCGATACTAACTTCAGCCACTCACTCATTGGACATTTACTACAGAGCTACTAAATAGCAAGCCCAGGGCTGGGAAGGCAGTGAGAACAATGAGCGCACAGTCTCTGTCCTGAAGAAAGGCAGCCACGTACTGTGGACTATGCTATACATATTTACCTCCTAGGAGTGCACAGAATGCAGCAGCAGCAGGAGACAGTCCCCGTGACTGTGGGCAGTATCTGGACCTAACAGACCTCTGTTCTTCTAGAGTCAAACACCACGAATGCTTCTTTTGCTTTTAATTTTATTTGGCAAAGCAGCGCTGTATAAACTGTGCAGACTAGCAACAGCTTACACAGCGTGTTAGGCGCAGATACAGTATCAGCAGCAAACTAGAAACAGAAAACGATATTGAGCTACAACCTCCTATCATTTTTAGAGAGAAGAAAATTACATCAGAGATGTCCAATCTGAACAGCTGAGTGTTTACAGGACACCACCTGCCGTCGTCTGAGGTTTCAGTATTTACAAACACTTAGTTTTAAGGTAACAGCAGCTGATTGTATCTACAACATGCTATCCTACGACACCACATCAAAAGCTTTAAAAAGAAAGCTCACCTCTATTTTCTTAGTAGCATCTAATGGACATCAGCTACCAAGAAACCTAAACTTGTGAATGGTGGTGTTATCTGATGCACAAAAGAAATCTGATAAATTAATATTGGAACAGAATTAAGTGTTCAAGAAAAGCAAAGCCATCCTTCAAAACTAATTAATAAACTAGGTTTTCCATGTGGAGAACCCTTTCTTTTAATATTTTTAAAATAAAATGTGGGCATGTTAAAACAACACACAAAGTTATACTTTGCAGCCCTCCTCTACCAGTTTGGCTCTGCGCCTCTTTGAATTAGGAAATCCTACAAAACCACACATTTTCATGCTGAAAATAAGAGTGTAACAAAGTCCAAAACAAGCTGTGATGCCGTTGGTTTTCAAATGCTTTAAGGACCGAGATGAGCAATCCACTGCAATGTTATAGACTGGTCAAGCTCATGTTGCTTTTATAGTTCATCTCTGGGGAGAAAAGAGAAAATGTGATTAGGAGTTACATGCTGTGATCTGGCATTCTAACAATTTAGACACGACACTCACGTCAGTAAAATATGCAGAGTCCAAGCAATGCAATAAGAGATATGAAAGCACATATAGCTCCAAGCCAAAGCAAAACCAGACAACAGTCACCCCGAGCATCTTTCATGCTACTCCACAACACAGCAGGAAACCACAAAACCCAAACTGATTTTAAACCTAAAGGTAAAACTTTTTTTTGAGGCAAAAAAGTCAGAAAAATTATGACTTCTGTCTAAGACCATCTTGCTATGGTGCGGGAGAATTGTCTGTATTCTGTCAATCATGTTTTAAATAAAACGCTGATTGGCCAGGCAGGAGGTGTAGGCAGGAAAACCAGACAGGAAGTGGAAATGATGCAAAGAGAGCAGGAGAATTCTGGGGGAGGAGGAAGTTGATTCCCCCCACTCCTGCCCAGATCACCGAAGCAGCAGGATGTGAGCTGCCCCACTGAAAAAGGTACTGAGCCACATGGCTAACATAGATCAGAAAAATGGGTTAATCAAGATGTGAGAGTTAGCCAGTAAGAAGCCTGACCTAATGGGCCAATCAGCTTTTATAACTTACAGAGATCTGTGTGGTTGATTTTCTCTGGGGCCTGCCGGCTGTGGGGTACCAGGCGGGGACAGAAAACACAAACCAACAGGCCCCTTCTCATGTTACAGAATGGCGCCCACGTGGATAACTGCATCCACAGAAAGCCTGAGAAAGCTTGGGAAAGACTAGAGTAAAGCATTCCATTTTTCAGCTATAGCAGGAAAAAAGCTGAGCTGTTTTAAAATGCTGGCTTTCTGGGCCGTCCTGCCAGGGAAAACTCTGACTCTTTCAAGCAGGCAGTCCGGACTATGGAAACAATGTTGCGGCTTGCTTCCTGGCAAGGACCTTGAAACGCCTTAAGAGCTTTTGACTGTTGTTTTCTCCATATTCCTTAGCAAATTAAAGACCCACGTGATCAGAAAAAGAGAGATATACAGTACAGAGAGATTCAAAGAGTAAGAAAACCTCTAAATGGTTTACAGTGTGTTAAAAATATATACAGGCTAAATGTTAAAGTTCTCAAAATAAAAAAGAAAGTAGCCTGGGAGGCAGAGACAGACGGATCTCTGGGAGTTCACGGATAGCCTGGTCTACAGAGGGAGTTCCAGGACAAAGATATGCAGAGAACCTGTCTCAAAAAGCCAAAAGTTAAAAGTAAAAATAAAAGAAATAGAGGTTAAAATAAAGCCACGTAAAGATGGAAAATATACAGGGAATCTTGATACTATATGCTATTATGCTCGCTTTAAATTGTTTGAATGCTGAGGAAGGAGCAACAGCTGCTAAAAGATACTTGCTTATAAATGCTGCAGAATTAATCCAAGATAGGTATTTTGAAAATACCTTGGCTTCAAAATTGAAGTCAAAATGTATGCTACTTTGAAGAAGAGATTTTGCTTTTGTTTCCACAGAAAATGAGAGGCTCTGGATTTATTCAGAGTTAAGAAAAATCATCTTTGACCAAGGGAGACCACCTGAGCAATCTCCGGTAGGAACAGATGGCCCAGATGTCTGAGTTCTTCATCCAGAACAGGTTCAAGACTGCTGCCTGAGATGATCAAGACTCACAAGATACTTCAGTCAGGACTTGATCATAACTCTAAATTTTCTTTAGGCCCCCATAAGATTATCAGCGCCCCCAACCAGCTGGAAGTAGCCTGGAATACTACGCCCACATTCCCAAAAAATGGACTATGGATATTTTCCTTTGATTTTTTAAAAAAAGGGGGGAAGTGGTGCGGGAGAATTGTCTGTATTCTGTCAATCATGTTTTAAATAAAACGCTGATTGGCCAGGCAGGAGGTGTAGGCAGGAAAACCAGACAGGAAGTGGAAATGATGCAAAGAGAGCAGGAGAATTCTAGGGGAGGAGGAAGTTGATTCCCCCCACTCCTGCCCAGATCACCGAAGCAGCAGGATGTGAGTTGCCCTACTGAAAAAGGTACTGAGCCACATGGCTAACATAGATCAGAAAAATGGGTTAATCAAGATGTGAGAGTTAGCCAGTAAGAAGCCTGACCTAATGGGCCAATTAGCTTTTATAACTTTTAAAACTTTTATAACTTACAGAGATCTGTGTGGTTGATTTTCTCTGGGGCCTGCTGGCTGTTGGGTACCAGGTGGGGACAGAAAACACAAACAAACAGGCCCCTTCTCATGTTACATTGCTAATCTACTTATTGATTCTAATATGACAGTTTAAACACTTAGAGTTCAAATTATTTTTTAAGAATTGTATTCACATAGTAGTGGCGCATGCCTTTAATCCCAGCACTGGGTGGCAGGGGCAGGTGGATCTCTGAGTTCAAGGCCAGCCTGGTGTACAAACAGGCTCCAAAGCTACACAGAGAAATTATTGTCTCGAAAAACCAAACCAAAACAGAAAAAGAATTCTATTCACAAAACTGGATAAAGAGTCTTGCTTGGAGAGTCTGTTAGCACTTGCAGCCTGAACTCTGGAGAAAAGCCAACGTTTGCAGGTCTTTACCTGTCAGCTGATCTCACTGAGGCAGCCTTGTCAGCTCCAAAGAAACCATTCGCTCAGCCAGCAGTTGTAGCACTGGGCCAGCAACTGCCAGTGAGAGGAAGGAAGGAGTAAAAAATGCAGTCTAAAGGAAAGTGGATGGCATATAAATTCTACCTCAATGAAACCATTCAGTGTGGAAAAATGAAGCATCAAAAGGTCTGGAAGCCTCATCTGAAGCTATCAAGTGACAAAAACATCACTAAACACTCTGTATTTCAGGGATAAAGAAGTATGATTTTGCAATTAATTCTCAAATGACTCGGAGAATATGACATACATATGTGTAGAGCTAAAGTGTGAGCCACAAACAGAGATGGTGACTGGCAATGGGCAGCGATGGGCAGAAGCTCAGCTCTGCACACCACCACCACCCTGTCTCAGCAACACCAAAGATGAATGCTTTATAAAAGTTGTGGATATGGAAGAGACATAAAGTGAGAACTTTCATGTCCCAAAGAGGTGCTGAGTTCAAGGCTTACCAAATAATGTGCCTTTTAAGTTGTATTTTATAAATGGTACAAGAAAAAAATGCTTTCTCTAATAAGCCCCCTTTTATATTACATTACTGGAGCATATGTGAGAGTGTATATAGTACATAGTGTACAGAGGCCAGAGGTTGATCTCTGGTGTCTCCCTCAGTTACTCCCCACTTTAATTTTTGATATGGGATCTACTTACGATCTAGAGCAAGGTTGGCCAACCAGTAAGCTCACAGGACCCCCACTCCTCCCTTCCCCTACTCAGTAAGTCTGGAGTTACAGACATATGCCATCACAGCCAGCTTTTACGTGGTGCCAGGGATCTGAACTCAGGCTCTTATTCTTGTACAGTAAGCATTTTAAAAGCCAAGCCACCTCTCCAGTCCCTGGATTATCTTTTACAGGATAATTATCAGTTCTACCCCCCATACAGTCCCTTAACCACACTATTATAATTAGTATAGAACATTTTTTTTTTTACCAGAATTAATGCAAATGTTAAGATTATCTGTCTACAGAAGTCACTTGCTCTGGTCACATAGTCTGAACACCCGTGCCTTTTAAAGCATGAATTAGGATACTAAATTATAAAACTTGTATTTACTTATAGCAAGACATTAAATAATTAGTAACTAAGTCAAGAACACTTAAAACATCTCCAAATATCCTCTACATTGCATTTTCTCTTGGGGTGGGGGGGATACTGGGGATCAAACTTAAGGCTTTTTGCATGCTAGGCAAGTAAGCTATTACTGGGGCACATCTGGAGTTTCTTCACATTTTCCCAATAAAGAAAAAAGAAATTAGGCTCATAGACTGGCATTTCAAATCTTAAGGTACTAAGGAAAGCTAACATTTGCTGTGAAAACATAGACAACTTCCACATATCATAATTTTCTCAAATCCATTCAACTTTCTAGCTACTAAAATTTCCCCAATGTTCAAAATTCTGCTTATCTGACTTACATGCACAGATCATTTACAATAAAAAGTAGCATTCCCATATTTGCTCATTAAAATGGCTACATATGTTAAATGTCATCAGTGGGTTACAACCAAGTAAGTCTGTTGTATTAAGTTTTTATAGTTCTGTGTTGGTAATACTAAATCACACATATTGTCATTCAAGAACAAATGAGGATTGGAGAGATGGCTCAGTAGCTAAGAGCATTTGCTCTTCTTGCAGAGATCCTGAGTTCAATTCCTAACAATCACATAGTGGCTCACAACCATCTATAGTAAAATCTGGTGCCCTTTTCTGGTGTACAGACATACATACAGGGGAAACTGTACATAATAATATTTTTTTTTTTGAGACAGCGTTTCTCTACAGTTTTGGAGCCTGTCCTGGAACTCTCTCTGTAGACCAGGTTGGCCTCAAACTCTCCTGAGTCTCCTGAGTGCTGGGATTAAAAGCATGTGCCAACCACTACCATTCCCCTGACAGAGCTCAATGCCTGGGCCCCACATAGGAGGGGAGAGCCGACGTCTCCGAGTTGTTCTCTGAGTTCCACACCCATGCAGTGGCATACATGCACGCACCATGCACAAAGAAAATTTTAAGTCATTAAAAGGTACCTGCCTTCTTTATAGAAAGTAAAATTAAGAGTTCTGTTGTACTTACATTGGGTTTTTTTTTTAATTTAAAAAGCAAAACAAAACCAAAAAGTCCTTCTTAAAAGAAGAAGCTGTCAACCAGAAAAGATTCTAAGGCAAAGACACTGTCAGACCACCCTTATTTGGGCACCAGCTTTAAGCATCTAGCCATGACACTCCAGTATGCTGCTGTCACTTCTCTCCATGGGGAGAAGTGGTATCAGCTTCAAAGGGAACATTCAGTTGATACTGGGACGCAGAAGCAGGCAGCAGCTTTCCAATGAGCCATGCGATGCAGTGTGAGAAGAGGGCTGTGAGAACAGTACTGTGTGCATGTCCTTCAGGAAGGTTGTGAGACCTGGTAACTCAACAGCCTTGGAATCCCTCTCCTCCCCAAACTTAGCTAGAAGAGCTCAAAACTAGCCAGCCTAATCCAAAACATGATGACACACTTCTTACCATGGCTCTAAAATGATGGTGCACACCCAGAAACTGACCCAAAGAAACAACCCAAAAACTAGACCATCTTTTCCAGGACTGACATTTTTTTTAAATGTCAAACATTTTTCCCCTTTACAAATCTTTCTTTCTCCTTGTTCCAGTGGTATTAGAAGGAATGAACAAGGCAAGAAAATGTACCATTATTTCCATACCTATTATAGCAGCTATAAACATGACTTGGAAATATTAAGGAAAATAGTGTTTTTCCCTTTTTTCCAAGACAGGGTTTCTCTGTGTAGTCCTAGCTGTCCTAGAATCACTCTGTAGACCAGGCTGGCCTTGAACTCACAGAGATCCGCCTGTCTCTGCCTCCTAAGTGGCTTGTCACCTTCCCTCTTCTAAAGGAACGAGTCAATCTGAAAGAAGAACAGACCATGCCACACTTGTCACATGGCTCATGGGAGGAGTTTCTGATGCTTTAATGGAGCAGCATGAAGGAAGCCACCAAACACAGCTCTTGCAGGCTAATGTCTTAAAGTCCACACCCTTTCACCTTGAATGTGTGGAAGAAGAAAGAGCAGAAGAGAAAATCACTTCCACCTGGACCACTGCTTTTCTTTATCTGTTAAAGGCACGTATATCACCCCCATCAGAGGCTTCATTTTGACACTGCCATCTTGTAGCTTGTCATACTGCTCCAACATTTGGTTTCCTCCTGCAGGACCAACTGGCAATATCAATCTTCCACCAGGCTTTAACTGGTCTATTAACTAGGAGATAAAAGAAAAGGCCCACAAACATACCAAATTACAGATGTGAAACAGTCATCTGACAGCACCATAAGCAATGTTCAATGTTCATGGGCAAAAGCAGAAACACACTTCATGTAGTCACTTCTTAGTGTCCTTAGGGGTTGATTCCAGGATCCCTCGAGCATAACATAACCCACAGTGGCTCAAGTCCCTCACAAGTGGCACAGTACTGGCACATAACACACTGCACACCCAGCCTCATTTGAACCATCTCTAGGTTACTAGTATTCTAACAGAGGGCCACTGTATGGACTTGACACAGTACTCAGTAACAGCAAACCTAAATGCTGCTCTTGCAACTTTCTGGACCTCCCCTCATCCAAAATCATATTTTTTATTCCCTGTTGGCTGAAAACATAGTAACCTACTCCCCATTTACCCATTTACCTCTCGTCCTCCCCTACTAACGTACAAGTTATCTGATGATGTACTATGCTGTGTATTCGCTTTGTCCTCACAGCACCTGACAGAACACCTGCTATAACTAAAACACTTAGTATGTTTGGGCAGAACCAACTGCAACAGATAATTCTAAGGCCAGTGCAGTGTGTTCTAGATCTCTGTGGAAGAGGAGATGGAGAAGGGAAAAATACAGAAAATTAACAAGGAACTACTATCCTATTACCGTGGAATCTAGGGCATCACTGAGACAATGGTAAGGGAATCCTAATGCCATGACTGCATTTAGGAGTCCTGGCACCAGCAGAGTGGGAAGGTAGGGCTGGGCTCCTTCAGCGGTATGATGAGGGTAATCCTATGAATGCAGAACCAGACTACCATTCCAGTCTGAAAATGGTTAAATCATATGCTACCCTTTGAATAATACAACTTTATGTTATTCAAAACCAGCAAGAAGGAAACCTGACTTTGGATAGGATAGTACTGCCCCAGAGAAGGTTTCTTTCAGTTAAAATTTGGTCACTTTCCATTTTAATTTTCTTAAGGAACACTTGATTTCTGAGTTGCCCTTGACTTATTATCCTGAGTTCTAACAGTCATAATGAAAAACAGGAGACTTCTTCCTCCTGATCCAGGTTTGCTCCCAAAGTCAGTCCTTTCATCTACATCTTCTTAGCATCACATTTATACTTCAAATCTACATAAGGACCGAGCTCTTAATATGCAGGCTCCTCCTGTGTCCAAGTCAAACCACCATCACTAAACCGCATTAAACTAAGACTGTAGGAAGACAGCCTGAGTTCTGAGCTGGAGGCTCCAATAACTCTGACCCAGTTCAAGTTCCATCATCAGTGTCTCATTGACTAATCAACAAAATTCTCTCACATAGACATTTTCTTTTCTATCTAAATAAACTATTAGCATTTAATATTAACTAGAATGTATGAACGTCTAAGTATATTCTGTACTTCATCTGGAACTCATCGCTACATTGCTACACAAATATATTAAATTTTAGGAATAAAGCACACAAATACCAAAAAAAAAAAAAGCCCAACTTACTGCCTGGGGCACAACTGGGGCAGCAGCCCCTACATGAATAGCATCGTAAGGAGCTTCCTCAGCATATCCCATTCTTCCGTCACCCACTGAAAGAGAAGTTACACTGTGAAAATCTGTGCAGGTCACACTTGGTGTGAAGAATTCTAGCAGAGGAGATGGGGAAGAGACTTTCATGACTTCATATATCCTTATGACACAGAAGACACTGGGGGAAGAACAGTTTGCCTAACTACACTAAAATTAAGAATTTCTTAATTCAGTCCCATAAGGGCTGGGCATGTACCTCCGTGGTACGGCAACCACCTAGCATGTGGAAGGCCATGGGTTTGATCAAGAGCAGTGCAAAATAAATGAATGAATGAATGAATGAATGAATAAAAGTAAGGTGGCAATAAAATGAAAATGCATACCACCAAGTGGAGAGAAATGTATGTAAAGTAACAAGACTAACTGCTAGAACACCCATCTCAAAGATAAATAATGCAACCAGATATCTGGACAGGCACCTGACAAGAGGGAAATCCAAATGGGCAAACATGAAAACAAGCTCAACCCCAATGATGACAGGAAAACACCAAACTGAAATCATAAGCGATGCAATGCTGTGTGTTCATTAAAATGGACAAAAAAACCAAAACAAACCAAAAAAAAACCCCTGTTTTTATTCTACGTATTTCAATGAAGATGAAGGATACTGAAAATCCACTTAAATAGAAACATTAGGTTTCCTGCTACTCACCAACCAGTCGTACTCGTCCTGAAGACAGAAGCATTGGGTCGTCCTTTTTGACGTTGTTTATGGAGTCATCTACTAGTTCTTTAATGTGATCAATTCCTATGACTTTTCCACTTTGTCCAACCTGGAAAACAAAAAGTAGTTCAAGAGTTCACATTGGTAAATTTGCTTTTCTAGAGTGCCTTTAAAAATGTTCCCTTAATTAAAATCATATTCTGCAATGAGAAATAAAAAAGTTTAAGTCATTAATCTAAAATCTCAGTTTATTCCAATTACCACATACAACTTTTTCAACTTTTTGAATAATTTTATTTAAGCAATTATAAAGTTAAAATAAATTACAAAACCTTACTAAGAAATCTACATCCCTTTCATATTTCTAATTTTTTTCTTTTGAAAATTGTTTGAGACATAGTGAAACCCTATCTTGAAAAAGCAAACAAACAAACAAACAAGAAAAAAACTAATATATTTTTAAATCCAGAACTTTGTGGCAGGATTTAACTCACAATATTTAATTTGTATGAACTCTAACTAAAAGGGTAATTTAAAAACTACTCAAATATTGACTCAAGGCACAATAGTACATGAGATAAGACTTAAGTTTTATAGATCCTGTCTCTAAAAGATAAATTAAATTTTTAAAAATCAGGTATTATATAAAATTTTTTAGAAGCCAGGCACTTTATTCACTGACCACCCCATAATCTTGGAGTCCGAGGCAGGAGAAGTCAGTCTGACTACATAGTAAAAATGAGACAAGCCTAGGCTGTATTATGAGGTCTTGTTTCAAACAAAGCAAAAATAAGAAATGGTGAAGTGGGATTTTTACATTCAACTCTACTACTTTTAGTGAAAAATATGAAATACATAAATATAGAAGCCAGGTGTGGTGGCACATGCCTTTAATACCAGCACTCAGAGCCAGGTCAATCTCTGAATTAGATGTCAGTGTGGTCTACACAGTGAGACCCTGTCTCAAAAAAGAAAATTCGTAAATACATAAAAATGACTTAAGTATCAACACTGATTACAAAACAAAGAATAACAGAATAAAGGCCCTGAACAAACTCCTGGGTCCTACCTGAATTTCACCACTCACAGTTAGTTGCCTGATGATGGAGGGTCATATGTTCATGTGTTACTTTCATTGGTTAATAAAGAGACTGCCTTGGCCCTTTTGAAAGGCCAGCCCTTAGGTGGGTGGAGTAGACAGAACAGAATTGTGGGAGAAAAAAAGCAGAGGCAAACAGTTGCCATGACTCTCCTCTCCGAGACAGCTAGAGTCCTCCCAGTAAGCCACCACCTCGTGGTGCTACACAGATTATTAGAAATGGGTTAATCAAGATGTAAGAGTTAGCCAATAAGAGGTTAAAACTAATGGGCCAAGCAGTGTTTAAAAGAATACAGTTTCCATGTAATTATTTCAGGGGTAAGCTAGCCGGGATCTGGGTGGGAACACAGCCTGCTGTTCCTTATTTCTACAGCCTGACACTAGGCATGCAGACCCTTCATTCTCTAAATCAGGTTCCTCAACTACAAACTAAGAAAAAATGGGGTCGATACCCCATAGGAGATATGAGAAAGAAAAGAGCACATGATAAGCAGACAGAACACTGATAACTACAGGTAACTGCTTGAAAAACACTATCATTTTTAAAAGATGACTAAGAAACCTATTTTTTTTACTACATTTATTTGCTTATTTTACATGTAGGAGGCATGCGCCATGGCACATGTGGGAGACTGTTCTCTCCTCCTACCATGTGGCTTCCAGGAATGAACTCAGGCTGTCAGGACTGGCAGCAAGTGCCTTTACCCGATTAGTCATCTTATTGGTCCCCTAATGATATTTTATAAGTGAATATTCCTTTGAAACCATCAACATATCAACACTAGAGAATGATTTGCTAATTAAACGCTATTTCCAGCTTTTTATAAAAGAATTCCCGATACCCAGTTCTGAGGACTTGAACTCTACAAAACCAATAAAACACTAGAAAAGATCGTGGCCCTCACTATGTGCTGGGCACTAATCTTAGCTATTTAACAAATGGCAAGTAAAAAATTTAGACAAAACTCTTATCTCTATAGAGTTACACTGCACATCTACTGCACATCTAGACAGGGCACACATCTCATGTTATGTAGACCAGGACCTCTCTGGACACAGAGCTCCTCATAACCAATCTGCCAGGACCCTGAGCACAGACGAACCGTCACTCCAGGTGCTTTAGTGGACCCCTGCTTACACTCTGGACAGCTTCACCAAATAAGCCTCTTTGCTAAACGCTGAGGTACAGTAAACAAGCCAGCACCTCACCTTTTTATAAGAAAAAGTTCTTAGGAAACATGCAAGACAGCCTAAAACCAGGCCAGCTTCATTCTCTTCTGTCAGATGGGAACTAAGCAGAACTGGGCTGCCGTGTTGGGGTCACGTGGGGTCATCCTGGACTACACAAGACTGAATCTGTCTAAATGAGAAGCAGAGTTCACACAAAGGTGATCCCAGCACTTGGGATCACATGCCTTTAATCACAGCACTAGGGAGGTGGAGAAAGGAATTATATGGCTGGATGGAGAGAGGAATGTAAGGTAGGAGGAGACAGGAGCTCAGGCAGTCTGACATTTGGGGGAGACAGTTGCAGTCTGAGGTTTGGTGGCGACAGATGGAGTCTGGACATACAGTCTGAGGACAGGATCACCCCTTCGGTCTGAGCATTGGTAAAGGTAAAAGAACTCTCGAGTTGCTGTCCTCTCTGCTTCTCTGATCTTCAGCATTAACCCCTATATCTGACTCTTGGTTTTTATTATTAAGATCAACTAGAATTCGTGCTACACTGCCCAATTAAGTCTGGCTTTCTAAATCCAGCTACATAAGAACCCAGGGAAGCCCCTAGGCTTTTCCAGTAGACAAGTTAAATAAATTCTCTTTGAGTTCTACAGTTTTGGGTTTAAATGTTCCATCACTTGCAACTATAATCCTACTTTTTTTTTTTTTTTTTTTTTTTGAGACGGGTTTCTCTGTGTAGCTCTGGTTGTCCTAGAACTCACTCAGTAGTCCAGGCTGGCCTGAACTCAGAGATCCGCTTGCCTCCTGGGCGCATGCACACCACCTCTACCTGGTTAAAATTACCAAATTAATAGAATAAAACAAAGATTAAAACTACTAGTAAGAAGAAACAATAGCTAACCATGTAATTTATTTCTATTAGTCTCACGAGGGAGATTAAAGCTCTTACCATCCGTGCAAAACATGCAGTGAGGATTCCGCTTCCAGATCCTACATCAAGGGCTTTAGCACCTTCATGTAACTGGTCAAACAGAAGTTCTAGTGCATATGCATGCTGCCAAAAGAAAATTAACCAAATGTTCATTTCTTCTTAAAGCCCATACATCACCTCATGTAAGTAGTTGGAAATTTTCTACTGAAGTTTCTACTACTAAACTATATTCAGGTATAAATGCATTATAACAAATATCAATATTGAAGAGATTTAAGGTAGCTTCAATCTTCCATAACAATAAATGTAATAAAGTTACTAAACATAGCTGTAATGATAACAATAAGTCATATAAAGTTCTGGGTGTGGTGCTGCACACCTTTAATCCTAGCACTCAGCAGACAGAAGTCAACCTGTTTTAAACAATTGGCCCCAGATAGCCTGGATCATTTTTGTTTATATAATTTTAATGGTCTGCATAAACAGTTTTACAATCAGATTTGTTCCTGTAAGTTTCTAAAAATGGTTACAATAATTACTAGTTTGTTCCTTTACTTCTTTCCCCTTCCATCCTTCCCACTGGTAACTACTACCTATTTGAACTATAGCTCTAATGTTAGAAGCGTAAGCAGTGTTGCAAGCTACAAAGTTTTCTAACTCGGCACACCTACAGTAGAACAGTGTGCTCAGTTGGCAGCATTTGTGGTTACAGTGTCATGCAGGGTGAGAGACAGTTTTGTCTCTATTGGTTAACATTTACATCTGGTAGGATCTGGGTTCCTACAATCAACTCACCAGCCAAAGCTAGAACAATTCATTCTACACTCTGTACAACTCCCTCTCCTCTAGGGATACACCAGGTTTTTCCTTTTATCCTATAAGCAACATAACTTAGAAACATACTCTTACTGGTTGGCACCGTTAATCTCCTGTTCTCAACCCTTCTCCTCTCAACTTCTTAGGGTATTGGCACAGCTATCAAACAATTGGGGGTTTCTATGATTCTGCTAAAATCGCTGTCTCTAGACTGTTCCCATTAACTCCTGATACCATCTATTTATTAGCATTTCTCCTAGACTCTTGTGGTTAAACTCATTCTCTCCAAAACAGTTATGCAAATTTGTAATATTAAATTTCATGAACTACTGTGATTCTTCCAGGCTAGTTACAGGGGGCATTGGAAAGGCAACATCCTGTTCTTATGTCTGAATTCATGGTCACACCTGAAACATCAAAGGCTTTAGGTGCTGAATTAGGTCCACTGTATATTTTTAACATCTCTGGCTCACTCAGAGGAGAGTCACCAGGGGGAGTTTTCCTTTGTAATAGCTATTTTATCCCTGAGAAAGTGAAACTAAAGGTAACCAGCAGTGTGGTTAGCATAGTGAAAGCAAGGAGAGCAGGTACACTCATGCCCCCGGGGTCAGGCCCAGAATGATGCAGTGAACTATCCACAGGCTTTGACTTAGAGGTCAGGGTCTCTCTAGGGCCTTGCCACAATCAGATCGTGTTTGTGCTGTCAGGCCTTGTTCCCCAAATAAGTCACATGGCTTCTGCCACCCCAAAAATCTTAGAATTATCTGGCCCCTCGGTAGGAGAAAATACCTTTAATCCCAACATTTTGGAGGCAGAGGCAGGAGGATCTCTGGAAGTTCAAGGATAGCCTAGTCTACAAAGCAAATTACAGGACAGTCAAAATTGTTACACAGAGAAACCTTGCCTTGAAATAACAAAACAAAACAAAAAAAAAAGAAAAAAAAAGAATTATCTGTATGTTATATTAAATTCTCTCCCCCATCCCCCGCCCTAAGACAGGGTTTCTCTGTGTAGCTTTGGAACCTGACCTGGAACTCGTTCTGCAGACCAGGCTGGCCTCAAACTCACAGAGACCCATCTGCCTCTGCCTCCCGAGTGCTGGGATTAAAGGCGGGTGCCACCACCACCAGGCTTTTTGTTTTTTGTTTTTCTTGGTTTTTTTTTAAATAAAAATATTTTTTAAAAAGTAACTAAGGTTTGTGTGTGTGTGTGTATGGCCATATGGCCTTCCAAACACAATTTTACTGTTGCAACATACACAGACACATGAATATAACTACCAGTTTCCTCTTTCCAATGTAAAGTATTACCGATTTTGATCTCTATCAACCTGACTGATGAAAAATGGCCCTTTACTAATATTAATTTGAAATATACTTGGTGTAGGAGGTCCTTCTGTCTATGTGTTACTTTCATTGGTTAAATAAAGGGACTGCCTTGGCCTTTTGATAGGGCAAAACTTAGATAGGAGGGAGACAGAACAGAATGCTGGGAGAAAGAAGGAAGAGAGAGAGCTGCCCGCCATGAAGCTGCCAGGTCAGACATGCGGAATCTTTCCCGGTAGGCCACGAGCTTGTGATGACATACAGATTATTAGAAATGGGTTGGATCAATATGTGAGAGTTAGCCAATAAGAGGCTAGAACTAATGGGCCAGGCAGTGTTTAAATGAATACAGTTTCTGTGTAATTATTTCGGGTGTAAGCTAGCTGGGTGGGATGGAACAAAGACCCTCCCCCCTCCCCGCATGGCGGGACGCAGCCCACGCCTCCTTTTACAACATATACTAAATTTCCATGAAATAACTTTTATTTATTTATTAGTCAATAATACTGCATTTCTTTCTCAAAAAAACTATCAATCTTGTCCTTTATTTTTCTTTGGGATTTTTACTAATTTCAAGGATACTCATAAAAATATGTATTTTTATGAATACTTATTGAATTTTTTCTATTTTATCATACATATTATAAATATTTCTTAGCTTTTCTCATCTTAGCTTAGTTTCTAACATTTTTCTCTATAACCCCAGCCCCCTTTTTGAGTTAGAGTCCTATTACCTAGCTCAGGATGACTTTGTGTGATGGTTTGAAAGAAAATGGAACCCAAAGGGTTTGAAAGAAAATGGAACCCAAAGGGAGTGGCACTATTAGGAGGAGCGGATTGGCTGAAGTAGATGTGGTCTTGTTGGAGGAAGTGTATCACTGTGGAGGCGGGCTTTGTGGTGGTCTCATATATGCTCAAGCCACACCCAGTGAGATAGTCTACTTCCTATTGCCTACCTATCAAGATGTAAGAATTCTCAACACCTTCTCCACTACCATGTCTGTCTGCACACCTCCATACTTCCAGCTGCCATGCTCCCTACCATGTTGATAATGGATTGAACCTCTGAACTATAAGGGAGCCACCCCATTTTAATGTTTTCTTTATAAGAGTTGCCATGGTCACGGTGTCTCTACAACAATAGAAACCCTAAGATACCTGTCACTATGTGGTTAAGGCTGGCACCAAACTCACAATTCTCCTGCCTCAACCTCCCAAGGGTGTGCACTACCATATCCAACTCTAAAAGCCCTATGTTTTTGAATTATAAGACATATTTAGGGCAACTAAGATGGCTCAGCAGATAAAGACGCTTGCTGCCAAGCCTGACAACCTGAATTCAAACTCCAAGACCTACATGGTAAAAGGTGAGATAAGATCTATAAAAGTTGTTCTTGACCCTCCACATGCCCTTCCACACACCTAAAAGAAATAAATAATGTGAGTGGGGCGGTGGTGGTGCACCCCTTTAATACCAGCACTCGGGAGGCAGAGGCAGGTGGATCTCTGAGTTCGAAGCCAGCCTGGTCTACAAAAGCTAGTTACAGGACAGGCACCAAAGCTACAGAGAAACCTTGTCTCGAAAAAAACAAAACAAAACAAAAAAGAAATAAATAATGTAACAAAAACATCTTTTAAAAAGATATACCATGATTTTCTGCTTATTTGGCTTCTATATTTTTTTGGAATGCTTTATATTCAATTTTTGTAAGTATTTTTCTTCTAGTATTTTCAGTACATTATAAATACATATGTGTTAACAGAATTTAGGAGTAAGCTTACACATGAGCTTTTCCTACCCAAATACTTTAAAAGAATCAGAAAGCTACTATTTCCTTCACCAAAATCCAATGCAGTACCAATTCAAGAAATTAATACTTAAAACTGATACTTACAAACAAGAAAATTTCCAGTAGATCAAAAAAAAAATCTTAAACAGGTCTTTCCAAAATCACATCTTTACACCTGCTGTCCATCACTATTCCCTAATGGCTTTCCAAACCAACTGTGAAAGCTGAAGATCCGCAGAGCATGGTGCGGTAGTTACTTCTGGAGTCAGAGCACTCCCACTGGAGGAAAGGAAGCTCTGGGAGCTCTGGGAGCTCACAAGGACAGAGGGCTGCTTCCCTCTGCTCAGGGTCATATGATCTGTTAACATTTGTGGTGATGTGTCCAACAGAACTTCCTAAAGATCATGCAGGACTCCTACCTGTAGCTTTTGGACATTACGACCCATGCTGGAATGGCTCTTACAGTAACACAGTGGCCTGTGAGTCACCAAGCTCCTCCAAGTCTCTGTTACCCCAATAAGCTCACTAGCTTACCAAGTTGGCTGGTTGGAACTGTCTCCTGGTCTACTATGTGTGCCCAGCTACAGTGAATAGACAGACATCAGTTCACACCATCCCAGGAACAATCACACAGGAGAAGCCTCTGAATTACAGACAACACTCTCTCCTTTACTTAGCTTTTTGCTAGGTTCAATTTTTCTGTCACAGGTGCTAACAAACACTGAAACCTTTAATAATGGCAGCTTCTATAAAGGAGAGTTCTTCTAAATATCAAGTATAAAATAAGCTGTTTGGCCAGGCATGTTAGTGCACACCTTTAATCCCAGCACTTGGGAGTTAGAAGCAGAGACAACTAACTCTCTGTGAGTTTGGGGCCGGCCTGATCTATATAGTAAGACACTGTCTCAAAACGAAAGAAAAGAAATGGCCACTCCAGTAAATGTGTCTGCACATGGTCAAGTGTAGGGTTAACTCACCATGTGAGGGGCGCTAATGGTAGCTTGGAAACCTACAAAACAAGAAGAGAATGTTGACACACTCAGCTACAAAAACACACCACATAGTGCACACAACTCCTTTTCTAATAACCAAACATTGTTTTTCATATTTTTTTCCAGTTTTTATAATCTTAAAGCAAATTTATTAGAAAACTGATGTAAGGTAGAAGTTAGAAAATACAATCATATCAAAGGCTACTGTACTCATCTAGTAAACCAACTCCTCTACTACTAAAGATGTCTTCTGTGTGGTTGGCCAACAACAACAGAAAAAAGATACTCCACCAGCACCACTGCTGCTGAGACAAGGTCTCACATAGCCAAGGCTAGTCTGGAGTAGCCTGGACACCTGATCCTCCTGCCTTCACCCCCCACCCCAAGTGCCCAGTTTACAAGCATGCCCCACCATGCCAGCTTGGGTCCTTTGCTCCTTCCCTTTTTGAAAGAATCTCTGAACAAGCCTAGGTAGGCCCTGATCTCAGCCTTTTCCTGCCTTAGCCTACCAAGTGTCTGGGATTACAGGCTTGTACCAGGAAGGCTTTCAATACACTGAGAACTGGTAAATTACTTTTCACTCATTCTCTTCAGATTTCATAAGTATAGTAAGTATGCAAAATCTTAGCAGAATACTAGTTTTACACTTCAGACAACACTTTAAAAAGTCAGATGACCAGCTTAAGAAATTTGCTCCTCTATTGCTGCCCATGGGTAAATCACTGTCTTGTGCTGGTTTTTTAGCCCATGTTTTCTCTCCTTCTGGTGTTACATTCTCAAGATTTATTTACCTGCTTCTGCCTCTGAAGCAGTTTTCACTGAGCGGTGGTAGCAGGTGCCTTGGGGTTCAGAAGCTCCCCAGGATCTTCTTGCTGACTGTCACAGTGCTTCAAAAGAAGACATGGCAGCTGGCCCACAGAATCCTGAGGCACTTCTAAGCCTCAAAGGCGCCCACTGCCAAGGCTCAGCAGCTCAGCAAAACCTGCTTCAGGACAAGGAGTTAAATACGGAACTTTCTAAAGACAAAGCAAAGGCAAAGCATCGGACCCAGAAAAGCAGAAAAGTCAATAATGATTTACTTATTCCCTTTAAATAATGATTTCAAAAATCAACGCTAATATGCAAATTCAAAATTAAAGATCCTCAATAAAACTTGGCACTCAGCTAAAACTTAGGTTTTCATTAAAGTTTTGTTTTTCCTTAAAAAAAAAATCCCCCAACTTCCTGACTCACATAATATATTTTTAAAGACATAGATTATTAAAAGTGAGCAACAAAATTTCAATTAGTGGGGCTATAATTCACATCTGTATACTATGCACACCTTTGATACCAGCACTTGGGAGGCAGAGGCAGGTGGATCTCTGAGAGTTTGAGGCCAGCTTGGTCTACAGAGTGAGCTCCAGGACAGCCAGAGATACACAGAGAAACCCTGTCTTGAGAAAAAAAAAATTACAGAGTAACTCAAGGAAAACACAACTTTTCAGAAATATAAAGCTTACCTATTGATTGTGGAGAATCCATATAAGGGTTAGATTTTGCATAGTGGGAGCGGTCTGTAGCCAGCATCACTTCAAATACTTTATCTGTCTTGATGATTCCATTTTCTGAAATGAATGAGACAGATATTTTAAGCAGATATGACATCAGATGTATTTCCGAATCACTCTGGCTACACTGCAGAGTACAGACTGAAGTAGGCAAGGCCAGAAGTCGGCCACGATGCAGGCACAGGTCACTTGGCTCTAATGATAGCAGTCAGAATGAAGAAAACGAGAAGGGTTTCAGTTACATCCAGTAATGTATACTGAACTGGAGTGGAAGTGGGGTAACAGGTGAGGTGACAGTCACCTGATGATATGAGAAGACCTGGAAAGGAATCAGGATTAACCGAGAGCTATGGGTCACACAGTAGGAGTATTCAGCAGTCAAGACACATGAAACTGAGGTTCAGCAGCAAGTACTGGGTTTGACATTATAAATAGCTTTTTCTTTTCTTTTCTTGAGACAGGGTTTCTCTATGTAGCTGAAGCTGACTTAGAACTCACTCTGTAAACCTGGCTGGCATCAAACTTACAGAAATCTGCCTGCCTGTGCTTCCCAAGTGCTGGGATTAAAGGTGCGCATTATCACTACCTGGCCTATAAATAGCTACCTTAAAAACGAGACCAGTTAAAGCAATACAAGTAGCTTAACTATGTATGCAAACTAATGTCATTTATTCACCAGTTGTAGAACTTTCAATTTTGGAAAGTTAATGATGGTCATACAGCTGTTCAAAAAAGTCAACACAATAAAACCCTAAACCTGATACCAAGAAGGGGCAGAAACAAAGAGAACATGACCTGCAGCATCACTCTTAGAAAGAGAGTACAAAAGAAAAAGGAAGCAAAAGACACAGATTAAGCACTGATGAAATCATTCCCCCAAAAAAGGAAGTACAGTGCTAAGTACTATGGGAGACACACGAGGCCTTGTGCTCCCAGATGAGCACCAGGGGGACATGAAATGTTATCACAGAGTCCATCCTTCAAGGGAAGGATTGTTAATACCTGTTAACCTCCCAGAAGGCTACACCGATATGCCTCCAGCCTGGTGACCTTTGCGCTATCTGCATGCCCAAAGACTTTTTTGGCACCTGACCCTCCTCCAGGCCCTTATTATCACAAGCTTGTTTGTCTTAGTCAATCTATAGAACCTACCTTTATGGACTTTACAAAGAGATTTTTTTTTAATTTATTAAAAATTTCCACCTCCTCCCCTTCTATTTCCCTCCCACTCCCCCCACTCCCCGTCCCCGTTCAGTCCTAAGAGCAGTCAGGGTTCCCTGCCCTGTGGGAAGTCCAAGGTCCAGAGAGTTTTAATGTAATCATGTCTGACTTGTATTCAGCCTACTTTGTTCCTCAAGGAGATTCATGTATGCTTTGCTCTGCATGAAAGATTGAGTTCATAATCATTAGAATAATTTTCATCAAACTGTGCCTGTCTTGAAAACCCAAATATAAAATAAAACAACCAATGAAACAATAATCTACACCTAAATATAAGAGCCACAAGAAGATCTTCATAGAAGAAAAGACAATGAAGGGCTGGAGAGATGGGTCAGTGGATAAGAATGCTGGCTGCCCTTACAGAAAACCGATTCTATTCCTAGCACCCACATGGTTGGGTTCCATGGGGATCTAATGCCCTTGGCTCACCTCTGCAGGCACAGGCATGTACATGGTGCACATGCATACAAGTAAAATACTCAAATCACATAAATCTAAAAAACAAAATGTCTAAAAAAATTGGCTAAGTAGTCAAAACTTTAGATCTGACGATGAATTCTTAGATATCACAACAAAAGGATCAAAACTAAAAAGCAATTGTGTTTCAAAAGACCTGACGATATTTATAAATCATTTATCAGAAGTCTAGCTAGGTGTGGTGGCACGTGGGAGGTGAAGGCAGGAGGGTAACAAGTTCAAGGTCATCTGCTGCCGCACAGTGACACAAGCACAGTGACATGAGACTCTAGAACTTTAGTGACAGTACTAAAAGCAGTCAAAGCTGGGGATTGTACTCAGTAGCAGAGGACTTACTGAGGCAGAGGACTTACTGAGGCATGCTAGCCTCAAGGTCCTGGGATCAGTCTCTGATTCTATCAAAAATAAAACCCAGAAAGTTTGTAAAAGATTACCCGAGGACTTAGCTCCACAGTACAGAGCAAATACTACTATTGCAGAGGGCCCACATTTGATTCCCAGCACCTGGATCAGGAAGTTTATAACCACCTGTAACTCTAGCTCCGGGAACCCAAAGTCTCTGGCTTCCTCGGGCACCTATACTCATAAGCATATAATCCCTCTTCTACACAAAATAATTTTTTAAAAAATTAATCTCAAAAAAAGCTGAAAAAAGACCCAATTTTTAAAAGATGTAAATCTAACTAGGCATTTCTCCAAAGATACACATAATACATGAAAATATGCCAACCATCACTAATCACCAATTTTGTTTTGCTTTGTTTTTTGAGATAGGATTTTGTTGTGTACAGCTCTGGCTGTCCTGGCTTTGCAGATCAGACTGGCCTCATACTCACAGAGATTGACCCGCCTCTGCCTCCCAAGTGCTAGGATAAAAGGCATGTGCCACCATACCCCATCTTGAAAATACAAATTTTAACCACCATGAAACACCATTTGTCACTCACTAAGATGACTATAATAAAAAGTAAGATAAGAAGCCAAAGTCAGTAGCTACACTTGTAGTCTCAGGAATTTGAAGTCAGCCTGGACAACATAGTAAGATTCTGGCTCCTTCAAAAGTAAGCCAGACAATAACAAGAATTTTAAGGATTTGAGAAATTAGAATCCTTGTGTACATCTAATGGGAATAAAAAAATGATACAGTCAGTTTAGAGTGGCTAAACATGAAGCTATCAAATGGTGAGTAATTCCACTCCTAAGTATATTTCCAAAAGAAATGAAAACTTCTAACTACTTATAAACATACACACAAACGCTCATAGCACTACTTAGAATAGTTGGGTTTTTTTAATATTTATTTATTATGTATACAATATTCTGTCTGTATACAGCCTGCAGGCTAGAAGAGGGCATCAGATCTCGTTACAGATGGTTGTGAGCCACCATGTGGTTGCTGAGACTTGAACTCAGGACCTTTGGAAGAGCAGGCAATGCTCTTAACCTCTGAGCCATCTCTCCAGCCCCAGAATAGTTGGTTTTAAAGTAGAAACAATTCAAATGCCCATCAAAGGATGAATGGTATAAAATGTGGTGTATCTGTGTAATGGAACATCACTTAATCACAAAATGGGATGAACTATTCATTCATAAAACATGGAAGAACCTGAAAAAATTATGAAAGAGGTCAGTTATAGATTGTTATATACTGTATGAAATTTAAATAAAATATTCAAAATAGGTAAATCCTTAGATTAAAATTAGTAGTTCCTTAAAGTTGAGGATGCCGAAAAACTAGGAATGTGAGACAAGGTGTCTTTCTAGGTAATGAAAACGTTAATGTGATTATGGCAGTAACTGATCATCTCTGTAAACACAGCAAAACCCTTGAATGATACCATTTAAATGGATAAATTATACTCATTAGATTTACCACAGTAAAGCGGTTGTAAGGAAAACCACACTTTAAAGGAAAGGCAGCAAGAAGGTGCACTGTCCTGCGGGGAAGAAGTAGAGAGCCACACAGAAAGCAGTCCGGGCAGAAGCAGCAGCACTTCTCTCATTGTTCCTCAACCACTGACATCATCAACTGTCACAAACCTGCAAATCAAGCAGAGCTCCTGGCGGGGCCTAAAGTCCTCTCCAGACAATGCCTCAAGACAAGACAGAAGAAAACTAAGTTGGCCTTGGTCAAGGCTACTCCAAAAAGAAAACTAAGCTCACAGTGAATGACTACAAAGATGATTTGAAGCTTCCCAGAAAATAAGCAATCCAGGAATAATCAACTTTAAAATATATTCTAGAAAAATTTTTTCCAGATTTAAAATAATTCATTTTAAAGAAAAAAATAGAACCTCAAGACAGGCTAAAAGTAGGAGGTAACATTACGTTTTTTAGAGGAACATTCAAAGCAAAACAAGAATGAAGCAGTTTTCAAGAAATTCAGATGAAGAACTTCTAAGGCAATAAATAAGGAGTAACCACTGCTTCAAGAATTTAAGAAGGGGTGCACACAACCCTTCCTATGGATCTTTCTAGAGCCTAGGTTCTTATATTTTTGGTTGTAAGCCTAGCTTTTAATGGCTGACCATTAAAGCCAGCCAGAGCCTACCTTCTTAAACTGTAGGACACAACCCTATAACTGTGGAGATTAAAAATAAAAAAGGGGGCTGGGCGGTGATGGCGCACACCTGTAATCCCAGCAGTCAGGAGGCAGAGACAGGCCTCTGCGAGTTCGAGGCCAGCCTGGTCTACAGAGCAAGTTCCAGGACAGGTTCCAAAGCTACAGAGAAACTCTGTCTTGAAAAACCAAAGAACAATAAAGAAACAAATAAATGAAAAAATAAATAATGAGGGCAAACAGTAAAGTGTTTCTGATGATGCAAAATGGGCTACAGAGATAGAGAGCAGTTAAGAGCACCAGCTGCTTTACCAAAGGACCCTAGTTCAACTATCAGCACCCATATCAGATGGCTAAACCAAGCTGCATTAAATAATTTTCTTATTTTTGGTAATCTATGACATACACACACACACACACACACACACACGTGTGTCATAGATATATATGTGTGTGTGTGTGTGTGTGTATATATATATATATCCATCCACCACTGCAAGGAAATATTTCAAATATAACTGATTTGTCTTTAGATGTGCAAAAAAAGTAATGTGCTGTTTTGCTTTGCATGTACAGCCTAATTAGAGGCTAAACATCCAATTATCATCAACCCATTGAAACACTGAACAGCTTTTGAAACACCCTTACTGCTTGTAACCTCAGGATACAGGGGCCCTCAATTAATAATCAACTATAAAAATGGCTATTGTGGGTCCAAATATGTAGCCGATCCAAATAAGATCTTATTAGGGTTTTAACAGAATTTAAATTATAAGCCAAATTTTAAAGTTTGAAAAACTAAGGGCCATATTAAGAATGGATACA